AAATGAAACGCAAGCAACAGAAGATAGTAGAATGTAAGATGAATCGCACTCAACTTCAATATTAAGCATGTGGCAAGTGCCTATTTTATCAGAATTGATCACAAGTACAGTGGTTGGAACAGTATTGACGATCAGGATTATCTGGTAGTCATGAAGACGGTTCAATGAGAGACTTTTTTTTAGGCCGAAACGATTCTGTCAGAAAGCAGTTATCGTGGGATTGGTCTAGAGGCAGTCGAACAAATTTGGTCGGATATTCAAAAAAGCGATTGGATGAGTGAAACGAATATCGATCGACTTCGCTCAGAACTGATCAAAGCAAGGCGTATTGAGAAATCATTTCAGAAGGCTAAAAGTGATCACTTAATCGTTTAACTCTCTTCTGTAACATTATTGATTGATTTTTGATCAGTCTGCTCATGCTTCAAACGTTTTTTATTCACATATCGGTTCGGTTAATTGAATTCGCTTAAATGCTGTCCATTCCATCCAACATTCTGTTACAATATTGTATTTGTTGTTTAATGTTTTTCATTCATNTTTCTTTTCGTTTTGAGTGACAAAAATCTGCTATTAATAATGCAATATTGCAGAAGGAGAGTGTACTTTGAAAGAGTTGAAAGAGGTTGAAGAGGATTGTAAAGGTTCGATATTCATGAATGAATCTCAATCACATCACGAACTCTCTGATACATCGAGTCGTTTGGAATCGTTTTGTGAACGTTTGAAGCAAATGTTTGTGAACACACATTCGTATTACTCACTAGTCGAGGTTCGTTGTTTCATTTCATTTATATCATTTCTCTGGATAGTTATTGATTGACTTGTTCTATGACCAACATCTATTGTTGAGAACATTTTTGTTCGTTGTTCATCAAGGACCACATATGATCTTTTATGAGTCACAATAATTTGGGTTTAATATTTGTTTGTTATGAAGATACTGATCGGTCGTGATGATCTGGCGACACTTATCGAGGGTTCTCCTTTGCCACTGGGTAGATTCTCGTCTCGCAGTCTTCGGGACGAATTGCTTCAGTTGGATCAGTTCGAATCTGTTGAGCAAATGGTTTGTTACTTCAGATCCGTTTGTCATAAATTTAGTCTTGGAATCCTTTTACTTTCCTAAAATGTAAATGCATGTATATCTGTATTGGGAGCGGTCTCAGACATCGAATTGATAGCAATGAAGAATTTTCATTAAATCATGATTACTTTGTGTGAACCATTGTGAAGTTATGATAATGGAATGTGAAGTTCGAATTGAAGTGATTCATAACGATATTGGTTGCAGACAAATCACTTGAACTGTGTGTATGAACAACAACAACGTTTAATGACAGTGCTCCGAAGTGCGAATGAATCGCGATCACTCAAACAAACCTGCAGTTGTAGTAGTGATAAGGATGATCCTGATGGTTCGATCAGATGCTTTTTGTGTCACTCAAAATTTCACGGTTAGTTATTGTTCACTCATTTTATATATATTTCACTTTTTCCTTCATTGTTCATCATTCATTTCATAAAAGTGAGCTGATCTCGTTCAGTCAATGAGCCATCGAATATTTGACAACACGGTCAAGCGATTTTAATCAATAAGTGTGATTTGTCTCACTTTATGTTTAACAAACTGATCGAAAGTTGATCATTTGGTATGCAGCGGATTCCGTTGAAGTTTTTGTTGTGCGATAATTTGAAATTAGAAGAAATGAAACCATATCGTCAATTGTGATTCCATTCGATTGAATGCATAAAAGATGGAACGCATTTCAGCGAATTGTATTCAATGGGATCCATCTCTATCACACCTACCAGTCGGATATTATTTATGCGTCCGTTGTTTACGAAGTAAACGTCCGTTTATCGAAGACGTTCGTTGTGCATCGCAAACGGCACCGTTATCGCTTGAGAAAACACTCGTTACGCACTTGCTGACCAGATGTGCAAATGATTACAAACAAACTATGGATTTACTCAATCAGATTCAGTCCACTTCGAGTGTTACTGATCAAGATTTGTTAAAAAAGTTGGTTTCAAATTGCCCATTCCTCAGTTCGTTCGCAAAATTTTGCCTCTTTTGTAGACGGAAAGTAGTTGTTTTGTTACCTAGAACGAGGCACTTTTATGTCCATTTAAGCGTCCAACGATGTTATCCTCAACGTTTTCAATAGATAGATTTCCAAAAATGGGTTTTCATTATGAGTGAACACACACAAAGAGAGAAATTTTGATTTGTTGGCGAATTTCGTACTCATAGATACCAGTTCATTTTTGTTTCTGTATTCTACGAGCAATATATCTTACTCGGAAAGTTTGCTATTTATTTGCCAATTGCAGACTAGATTCGAGTTTGATATCAGTGCTGTGCGCTGAAATGGTGGATGTGGATTCGTGGTCGAATATTGTATCGGCCTTCAAATTGCTTCATGAGATCAGTGACGACGAGCGAGTGACGTATGAAAAGATTCGATTACGTCCGTGCGGCGTGAACGCAGAGCCACCGTTCATCATATTCACGTTAGGTGTTAATTTGAAGAAAACAAAGCGACGAAGTAGTACGTCGACAACAACAACCGCACAACGGCACCGTAAACGTGGTCGTAACATCTATCACAACGACAAAGAGCAGTGCTCGGCTGAAACTTGTCTCAAACCTTACAGTGAGTCGCCATTCTTATTCTGTTGCTTTTTATGACAGTCATCTTCGGGAAACTATTTCGATGCAGTTGAAATGAATCGTTTGTTTGGTTGGATGATTATTGATTTTATCTGATCACATAACATTTCTACGTCAGTCACTTAGACTGTAGTGCCTCTGTGATGTGAACATTTTAAGCTTTTTACCGTCACAAACACATTGGTACTTTTGCGGTGGATTTTAGTTATCGATAAGTGAATATTCACCAGATTTGTGTTATCACTGTGAACTTGTTTGAGGTTTAGGTATATATGTATGCGAGTAAACTGTTGTGGATATATGCTACATGTTTTTGATGCATATTCATTAGATTTATTTTTATAACGAAAGTTCTTGGTTAAGGTGAACAGGTGCGTTGGATTCAGTGTGAAGCGGGTTGCTCGAGATGGTATCATTACGTTTGTGTGGGTCAATCGGTAGGTCAGGCTGAACATCTCACTTCGTACTGTTGTTATCGATGTTCAGCCAATAAATCCTTAC